ATCCGCAATATATATATTAAAGAGAAAAAACATTTGAATTTACATTGGCAACTTTGCACTGGAGAAATTGAAAAGTACCAAAATTAGTGATAAAAAAATCAATAGAAGTCTGTAATTATCAATAAAACTTTTATTGTATCAATAATAAACTGTCTGTACATGAATAAATATGGATAACTTTTTTAAACAGTTAATATCCTTATGTCTCAATACTTATTTTTCTGTTTTATAGACAATGGTAGCATACATAGGACTGTACTAAAGGTTATTAACAATAAGGAAGTAAATACAGGTAAGGGAAACTCATACTACAATAACAACATAAATATCACAATTTCATAAATTATTTAAATATAGATGTAGTAGTTGAATGGAGCGTCAATACACCTCTGAAGAGAATAACTTGATTGTAAATAATGTGCCTTCTTACTTTTAAGTGTATAGTTTGTCTAGGTAAAGAACTCCTCTAAGCATTCGTCTGGTGCAGTGACGGTGACTATGGTTAAGAGGTTTAACTATTTTAAGTAGGGGTGTTGGGTTATTATTTAAGACAGGTTTTGCATTGGGTCAGAGAGAAAAAGGGAATCCCCTCTTTAAAATGCGCTATTTCTTGTTTCCGTAGCAGCAGACGGCCTTAGACTTTGTGGAGAGGGGATTTCTTTCTATAGACGAACTATACCTTGTCGTACACTTTATATAATCACTTGCATATTAATTGTATGTATAAAGTTAATGTGCAAAGATATTCGTGTCCATCAGTTAGTCAGTGTAAAAAACAAATTTAAACGTTAATACATAAGATACATTTGTGATAACTACTATTATTGTTCTTTTAAAGTCTTTAATTGAATAGAAAATGTAAGACAAAAATGTAATTCTGTTAGCAGAACTTTTAATATATATTAAGAGCTTGAGGCAATATGTTTGTAAGCTATTCTTTTTTCCAAAGGTGAACTTTTACAAGAAACTAATTCTTAGTAGTATTTTCAAATATGTACTTGACAAGTTTGTGGAATTTTCACTTAATAACACAAAACACAAGAATCTCTTGATTATCTCTGTGAAAATCGAGGTACGTTTCATGAAAAAAACACTCCTGAACAATTTGAAAATGAGGCTTATTATATTGCTCAAAGCCTTTCATATACATAGTAAATTAACAAAATAAATAAAAAATAACCATATAATATCCTTATGACACTGGAAAATAAATACAAAGAAAGATTCATGCTCTGATTACAAATTATTCTTTTTATGCAAATGCTGAAAAATTTTTAATTAGGAGCCAGTAGACAATAATTTGGTTTAGTGTGAAAAAGACTAAACTTTCACAATTATTTAGGCAGTACACCTGACCATCTAGCTTCAAGACTTCTATTAAATAGTCATACAATTTTAATATCACATTTGATTAAAGTTACTAAGAATAAAGTTGTTTATTATTAAAGATTGTATGGTTATTTATATTTATCATGAATAACTGCTTCATTTGTTTTTAAATTTATTTTCTGCAAATTTTCTAGCATCATTATTTATCAAAACAGTTCAAGTGCCTGCATGACTATCAGACTATAATTATGTTCAATCAACATATCAACAGTTATAAATGTTTTTTCAAATCTGTTTAATTATTTATGCCCTTAATCTATATATTTTTGAAACTTTAGTCAAGGTCATCGTGTAAAAAATGATACTTTTTAAAAAAAGTATTCAAAACATATTTTGTGAGTATATTTAACAAAGCAAAATTTTGTGGGTGAGTTCCTTTTTGTGTAAAGGATAAGTGTGTAATATAACACATCAAAAATCTTAGCAGGGACGAGCAAAACAAGATGTGACATGTTCCATGGCATGCATAACTCTTGAGCGTGAAAAAACAAACAAACAAGTAAATAATTAAAACCAAACCTTAATTATACATATATAGAAAAAGTTTCTTTTCCTTTGTTTTTAACAGCTGAAGGAGAAAATTTGAATGATTCAGAATATTAAAACGCATTGTTGCTTTTACTTGATGTAGATGTTTGATCAGTCTAATTTAAAAACCCCCATTGTTCAAATTTAACTCTTCTTATTTTGTCTATCAATAAATAAAATATAATAATAGATGGATAAAGAGGTTGAAAACTCACGAGGCTTTAAAGTTTAAACGGATAAAGAGGCTTTAAACCAAGACCCCTCTTTTTCTTTCTTTTAGTAAAAGGGACTTATAAACATGGAAGTCCTGGACAGTAAGGATCCATAATTTTCTAACTCTAGGGGAATCACTACAAAACACAAATTTTATAAAAATCCTTCTAAAATAAATTATTTTTTTATAATTAAATTGCATTTTCACTCAACCAATTAGCATAAAGCCTCCAAAATAAAAGATTTTATAAATAAAATTCAAACTTGAAATAACAAATAAATTCTTACATTTAATTTAAAATTTCATTCCGCAAGAACAATAATAATAATATTACTAAATTAAAAAAAAAAAAAAAAGAAACATGACAGTGCTTTCTCTTTGAAAATAAAAATAAGATTTTTGGCAACTTACTGAAAAAAAAAAGAGAATAAAAAACAAAACCCTTCCCTGATTGAATGTAACGTTTGTCTGATAAACTCTTTGAGATTATCTCTTTGACTAGAGTTAATAATTGACTAGAATAAATATTTTAAAAAAAGCACATTATAAATTAACATTTAAAAAAAGGAAAAAGCCTAAAAAAGGTGGGACTCAAAGAATAAAATAAAACGCTCACCAAGTCTAATTACAGTATAATAAACTATGTATGTTAATGTAGTTCATATGAGCGTTTTTACTTATTGCAAATTAATTTACATAAAAATAAAATTAATACAATAGCCTAGCTCTCTTACTTGCCAGGTTATTAGAAACTCACATTTTTTTTCACATAATGTACAATTTAGCTCTAAAAATTTTGGAATTAATAACTTTTGTGAGATTCCTTAGTGCCTGAATCAGTTAATGTTAATAAATTCAGTTGGTATAGGTATTTGTGTAAAATTTTGAATACAACAAAAGAGAACTTAATACTAAATATAAGGTTGTTACTTTATCATTGTTGACAAAAAATCATCAAGAAGCAAAGATAGATGCCAAAAATAAAAAAACTATTTTCATACTTAATTGCAACTTTTCCAATATTGGTGAAAAATTATATTGTTTGGCGGCCTATTTTTGGTTTTGCCGAAAATAGTTGAGGTTATTTTACACAAGAACCCTGATATGCTAGTGGAACATCTTAAAATGGAATGGATATACTAACGATACATAATCTTAGAAAGTTAGACTTCAAATATATTTAAATTTTTAAACAAAAATAATAATTCTTTTTAATCTGAAGTAAATGAATATTCAGGATGCCTACTAAAGTCATATTCATCCCTTTAACTTTGAAAAAGATGCAACAACACTAATAAAAGTACAGGGTACCAAAAAAAATAGTAAACCAACCTGAATAACTTTTGATCTAATGATTGGATCTTCATGTTTTAGGACTCAATCTTAATGGCTCGAAGAGGTGATCTCAAATATGCTGATTAATAAGTGCAGATGATATTTTAAGTAACAAAATCAGAGACAAAAAAGCACTTTCTATGAATGAACATACCTTTTCTTTCGACCGATTCGGATTTCACATCCCCAAAATATAGGGGTTAGTGCAATTTTGTAACTTAAAATATTGTCTGCACTTATTAATTAACATATTTGAGATCATCCCCTCCAGCTATTAAGCCCTAGAATGTGAAGATCATTAGATCAAAAGTTATTCAGGGTGGTAAGTTTTTCTTTCTTGTGCACTGCACATTAGTTTTACAAGAACAAAATAAAATAAAAAGACTAATTAAAGATGTATCTCATAATTTCATTCAAATATAAAACTAGACAGATGGGAAACTTCAAAAGAGACTAAATGTAAAATTAACATACAATGTAAATATCAGTTTACTAAAAGAGAGAGAGAGGTCAATGTCAAACAGGATGTAGTTGTATATTACAATACAAATCAATTAATTGGACTGCTAATAACATTCATAAATATAGAGAGGCAGCATGAATTATTGTAAGAAATATTATATGAGTGTCTTAATAGCAATGAGACAAATCTTTGCAGCTTGGAAAGACAAAATTCTTAAATCCTAGAACCAATGATTTGGACTTGAATCCAGGATCTTCGGTATAAGAGTTTGTATTAAACTGCTGATTCGCTTTGATCGGAAGAAACATTAATAATTGTAGATTGAGCCTGGGTTACCGTAACTTTATTATTGGAGTAAATATAGATTTTTCTAGTTTATTTCCTATGCAAATGCTCTTTTTACTCTACCAAGTTTGGCAAGTTAGTGAGCCTTTTCAAAAAATTGCATGAAGTAACTAATAATACTTAAGAAACAAGAATAATAATTTTCCGGTTTATAATTTTAAAGTTTTTTCTCTCAATATATTCAAGTACTAAAATAATCAAGTTAAACTAAGTCAATTTTTATATTCAGGGTATCTGCTACATCTTAGATTTTCAAATTCATGATTTTCCACGACTAATTCCAAGAATTTTTCATGACTTAACGAAGTTGCTATTTTCTCCAACAAAAACGCAACAATAAATTAAAAAAAGCATTATAATAACATTATTCGAAATAGGCATAACAAAAACTATTATACTCTTCATCTTCATATTTATAGATTTTAAACTTAAAAAACAGAGTAAGGAAAGAGTTGAAACAATAAAATACCTGAAAAAAATACAAAAGCAAAAAATTTTTTTTTCTGCAGAATTATATACTTTTCTTGTTCATCAGAAAGGAAAGAAATACTCCTGATTTTTCTGTTCATTTCGGAATAAAAAAAATTTGCCAATAACTGGTTTGCTTCAACTAGAATTTTAAATTGATAAAATTAAAAAAAAAATAATAATAAAAATTCTTAAATCACAGAAGAGAGTTTAAAGGATAATTCGCTCTAGAAATGATATTTTTTCTTTCATTTTTTGAAAGAACACCATAATTTTTAAAGAACATGATAAAATCATTTTATATTCAAATAAAATATGACTGAGTGGTGATTTTGTTAGAAATTCAGATATTTGGAACAGGATGAAATTGGGGGGAGGGAGATTCCATTTTAAAAATTAGATTTTTCAGAGACCTAAATCCATGACTTTCCATGATTTTATTTAAAAAATAGTAAAAATCATGACATTTCATGACAAATTGTGTTCAATACCGAAATTCATGACTTTCCAGGTGCGCGGATACCCTGTATACTCTCAAATTGAAATAAAACTCTTTCTGTATATTAATAAGCTATTCGACTTTAAATACACAAAAAAAGAACAATTTGGTGAAAGAGTTGAAACTAAAGGCCTAAAACAATATTACAAATGCAGTAATTACATTTCAACCAGTAAAATTAAAATTTTATCAAACAAAAACAGCAATAACAAACTAATAAATACCTGCTGCAAAATGTTCTTAAAGCATCATAGAAAAAATAATGACATAATATATGAATTGCAGAATGATACAAAATACAGATTACAGAAAGTCAGATAATTATTTTTAAAATCAGATTACTAAAATACAGCATATTCAGAACTTAGCTGCGAAAAAAATGATAGGTTATTAAATTGGTAATTAGTAAAATTTAGTATCACAAAAATAAGTAAATAAAATAAATAAAAATAATAATTATTTCATAAAAATAGGAGGATAGATAAGTTTCATTTTTGACTTTGGCATCACATTTCTAGTCATTTTAAACATATTTTTAGCAAATACGTAGTTGGCTGCACTCTTATAAATTTGAAAATATGAAAAGTAGATTGCACATTGCAGAAGTAATTCACATGAATTGTCTTCAAAAAGAGAGAGAGAAAACAACAGTTGGTCAAAAAATAATATTTATAATAAATAAAATGATAAATAATTTTTTATAAGAAATTTCATTTCGAAATCAAAACAAAGAAAATTTATGCTTGAAAATAATAAAGAATTAAAAACAAGGGGCTACTTACAATAAAATAATGGAATTTTTATTGAAAATTTTTTTTCAAATGTTTTCTAATTATTCATAAAATAGAATGGAGTTTTCAGAATAGTTTAGTAATCAATCCTAATATATAAATGTGTTCCAATTCAAAATAATCAAAAATTGACTTTAGTAGATAAATATTGCCAATGCTATATGTGTATCACAGCAATTACACAGATAAAATCTCCAAACAAAATAAATTCAAAGAACACCTGTGACCCTTATAAACAGTTTTTTACCCGTTGTTCTACCTTCTCAAAATCAATTTTCCTCCTTATTATTCAACGAAAAAGTTATGTATTAAGGATACATTTCTATACAAACTTGCTGAAATGCAAAATGCTTGGTCAGTCCAATGGTAATTATCAAACTTTTTTTTTTATAGCTACAATAATTATGTAATTTAAAATGATTCTTCTGAAGAAAATGTAGTAATAAATATTTCATATACTTTACAAACGGTCAGCTACTCATTTGGAGTGAAAAAACATCTTTTATTCATCTATAAATTTAAAACATAATAATCTTAAGATTTCTTTTTACTACATATACATCAAAATACAATACAGTTTAAATAAAAAAAGAAGTATATATTACATTTTAAAAGAGTAACATTAATTAATTCTCACTATTATCATCAATTATCAACTTTTAACTTGCGTTTGGTAAAACGTAACCCTAAGTCCAAGCTTTAAAGTTTGAGTGAGCAAGTATGTAGTACCTGACAGTAATGAAAAATATACTATGTTTCTTTTAAATCATGGCACTAATAAATTTCGTAGTTGCACTAATTCTTGTTTCATACACCGCATGTAGGCTGTTGTCTCCCAAAGCATTTTCACTAGAGTCTTTGTATTTGTTTCATCAAGAGCGACATTTTCAGAGAGTTGAGGACATAAACGAATATAGGGAATATTTAGCATACCACAAACAGCTTGTGCGCGAGCAGTTACTCGTCCATCAGTTTGAGTTGCCTAAAAGTCAAGAAATTTTTATTAGCAATTAAAAGAGTTTGTTTTAAAATCAATTTAAAAAAAACAAACAACTTAAGTAAAAATGAAAAAGATGTATAGTTACTACTCCATCAGTTCAAGTTGCATAGGGTTTTGTCAAATTAGTTTTGTTTTTTAAATTTCTAGAGAACATCAAATTTCAGAAGCAATGAAAAAAAGTGCAAACAAAGGGAAAAAAGTCACACATCCATCAGTTAGAGTAGTTAAGAAGTTTAAAATTAGTTTTTTAATATCTATAAAATAACTTAAAACAAAAGATTTTTTTAAACAAAAAAAAATGAATAGTAATGAATTAGTCAGAAAATTGATTTCTTTATGCGAGCAGAATTATTATGTTTAGTAATAATTAAAAATATTAGGGTTTAAATGAAAAATATATATAGTCATTCTTACATCAGCTTGAATTGTTTACAAGCCAACAAATTAATTTCTTCAATATGATTTCTATAAAATAACTGACGTAAAAAAAATTTGTGTTTAAATAAAAAAGATAGTCACTCATCCATCTGCTTAAGTTTTGGTAATTTGCTAATCAAATATAAAACATGTGCTTATTCAAGCAGAACAATATTATAACTTATTGAATGTTCCAAGTTACAGAGGTGCTAATACTGTCATTTCTAATAGAAGAGCTTATTGTCTTGCTTATTCAAGCAAGACAATATTATAACTTATTGAATGTTCCAAGTTACAGAGGTGCTAATACTGTCATTTCTAATAGAAGAGCGATGTAAAAAAAGGTTGTGGTTTAAATAAAAATATTCATAGTCAATAAGTGAAGTTGTCAATAAGTGAAATTAAACACAGAGCAACGTAGAGAACACCAGATGGGTTATTTGCTAATCAACAAAACCAAGTGCTTATTCAAGCAAGATAATATCTATGACAAAAAATAAAAAAAAGAATAGTGTTGCAGGAGTTCAATTGTGATAAACTAAAATTATTAAAACAAAATACACAGTGAAACTTCCAAGAAAGTCCGCCTCCATTTACGACAACTTTTGGGAGGCACAGAATTTTTTCCATGGACTTTGTTTCTAAGAAATCCATCAAAAGAGACCATTAAAGCCTGTCCCAGCGACAGAGCAAACGTCTGCACCAAATGTGGAAAAAGGTCAAATGAGAAAACACAAAAAAATATCAAAACAAAAATTTATAAAAACTAATAAGTAGATTAAAATGTATTTAAAATATTTGAGTGAGGCTCTTATTTAGAGAGCTCTTCTTGACGATACAACCTCATGTTGCAGTCAGAGTGCACTACTATCAATGATTTACTCTTTGAGTTGAAAGTCAATTTAGAAAAAAAAAAAAGTTACTTTAGAAAACGCAAGCATCTTAAACAAACAAACCTCTTTTCATCTTTTAAAGCTGACTAATTTTTATGATACAAAAACATAATTGTATATTAATTTGAAATAACTTCATCATTCATAATTGGTAAATCTGTTTTTATGCATAATTATATCAGTTGGGATCATTTTTATAGACACTAAATTCTATTCATAGATCCATCTTTTCATGGCATTTTTGCACCAAAAAAATGACACTGACTAAAAGAGAGGAAAAGAAAAATATGTAAAAGAGAGGAAAAGATATTACAGGAGAGTAAGAAAAAAGATTTATAAGTGGAAAATGTTGAAGATATTGAATTCCAGAGGATAATAAATGAAAGCAGAGCTTTCTGAAAAAGAATTAATAGAAGTTGCATGGTCTTCTACTACATCTAAGTAAAAACAAACATCTAAGTAAAAACAAAGTAACAATTATTTAATTTTGACTGACAAACAGGCTGCTCTTGACGATTGGGGTGAAAATTACAATAAAATTTACAGTAAACAAGATCAATCTCGAATTGTTTTTGAAAACCAAAATAAGGAAGAAGCACTGCCACTTGCACTTGAAGAAATTGAGACTGCTCACAAAGAGGTTAAGAAACAACATCTGGGCACAATTGTATAACAACTAAGATATTCAGTACTTTTAAAGTTAATCTAAAATCTTATTACTGATATCTGAAATACTATCTCTTGTTATCTGCCCAATATATAAAAAAGGCAATACAATAGTTTGTGTGCATTATAGAGATATCAGTTTGTTAAGTACTACTCATAAACTTTTGTCTAATATTTTATTTTAAAATAATTACGCAACATATAAACCATCAAATTAGAAGTTAGCAATTTCTGCATGGGTAAATCTAATAAAAATCAAATCTCAGGTAAATTTTGGAAAAGTCCAAAGAATTTGGCATTAACACACATCATCTTTTCATTGACTTCAAAGAAGCTTTTGACAGTACTAATAAAAATTGCTTGTATCAAGCTCTGGTTGAGTTTCAAATGCTGCCTTAACTATTCTGACTTGTAGTTGCAAGCACGTTCGGTCGAATTTTTGGGATCTTAATCTGAAGAAATCAAAGTCAATAATGGAATAAGGCAGAGGGATTCCTTAATCAGTCTTCTTTTTAATGTTGCTTTAGAGAAAGTTATAAGAAATTCTGGAATTAACACCAGAGGCAGGTCTTTTCCCTGGACATTGCATCCTCAGGAGACACCTATACGTAGTGGGTATTGAATCTAATCCTCTTTGTAGAGGTTGTCATCTTGAACAGGAGACTTCACGATACATACTTTGCGGTTGTGAGGTCTATTGTGCTCAAAGATTTGAGCAATTAGGGCAACACACTGCATTAAGGCCTGGGAACTGCAAGCTGTTCCTGTTATGTGTTTGCTGAATTTCATTTCAGGCATAAGGCTTTCTTGTTAATCATGATTTAGGGTTTGGGTACAATAGACCTCTGGTCGATGTGCCCTGCTCTTTGGAGCTGCCCAACAACTAAGTCTAACATTAGAGGCAGCAATATATTTTCAAAATCAATACAAATTTCCCCCTATACTGGACCCACTTGAATAACTGACGGGTAACTGAACATTACATCTGTCTGGGCTGAAAGTTTTATCTGTTGGTGAGAAGTGTGTGTTTCAAGGGAAAGGTTATTATTCAGGTACTAATTAAAATCATTGGACTGGAATAAAAATTGTACGGTGTTCTCAACACTTGCTCAGTAAAAAAACAATTTTTGTTAACAAAAAAAAAAAAAAAAAAAAAAAAAAAAAAAAAAAAAAAAAAAAAAAAAGACAGTCACCTGATCTACTAGAAGCTGCCCTAAGTTTGTTACACCTAGAGCCATTCTGCAGGCACCCCACAAGGTATCGGGACGGAAGACATCAATGGTGTTCACAGGCACAAGTGGGGGTCTTCCAGTCCCCAAAGAAACAACCACCTTAATCTTGCATACCTGGTCTTCCTGACCCTGAATTAAAAGAAATAAGTGAAGCAATATTATAATGACATAATGCGCAGCATAACTTTGGAACTGAAGAGAAATGGAAGGCTCAATTAAGATTGTGATAAAGTATCACAAATCAATAGTTAAACATTTTTCAAATATTTCTTAATATCTAGCCATAGGAAGAGTTTTTACATCTAAAGTATAGTTATTATTGTAATTTAGGCATTTAAAGTGATAGTAAAATTTAAGCTTTTCTACTTCATTATTATACATAAAACTTAATTAAAAATGAATTTATCTACCCTTAAAAAATTTAAATAAATGCATTATCAATGTTCATTAGTGTAATTGAGCTCCGATAAAATATAAAAATGCAATCGCCTATAATGAATTTTTCAATTTAAAATTTTATTACAACTTTCAAAAATCAATTTTGGGAAGTATAAATGCTTACAAGTACCTTAAAAACTGTCCAGATAAGAGTTGTAAAAGACAGCTATAGCTGAATTAGCAAGCTTTCAAACCACAGAGCTACCTGCTTTTTACGTTTTTTAAGAAAACTTCTTTAAGTAGTAACTAAGTTTATGACTTTATGTATCATTCTTTACTTTGTAAATTTATTTTAAAGTTATTGTTCACAGCATTACAAGAAAATGATTCTAAAGTTTATATGAATTGCTATTTTGTTGCAGACTCTTGTGGCAAAGCTTTTAAATGTTGGTAAAATTACTAAAAAATCTGATAGCTTTAGTTTTTAATTGTTTACCTATCTTTAAAATACTATACAAAAAGCATAGTAGTTGGCAGCTATGATTTCAATCTAATTTATCAAAACCATATCAAAAGCATGATAGCTGTCGATATATTTTTATCATTTATTTCAATAATGGTGCAAAAAGTTTGGACTGTAATGCTGGCAAATTCAGGAGAATAGTTTCTAAGTAATTAAATTTTTTAAGCTGTAACTTACTTCAGAAACTATTTGTAAGATTTTGTTCATATTTTAGACCTTGAGATTTAAAATAACATACTTTAAAGTAAAAGTTTTCATACTTTATAATTTAATTTTTTTTATCATTACTAACAATATTAATAAAAATAAATGTTTTCACAAACAATTTTCTCAGATAAACAAGCTAATCATTTTAACAGAAGATTAGTTGTAAGTTTGTCTTTCTTAGATTGCAGTTGAAACTTCCATATCACTTAATAGCAGTTGAAAGTTTTGCACCTTCATGTTTGTGCACACAAATGTACAAAACCTGAAGGAGACAAGATTACAACTTATCTCCCATTTAAATGATGGGGATGATATTTTCCACATTGTAGTTACCTCCTATCATAGTCTTAAAGAAAAAAGTAAAGTTATCCAAAAGAAATCGTTTTTGTGTCCATATTTGGAACTGTAAATATTGTCTGGAGAAGGAAAACAGCATATTTAAGGTCATACTCTTAAAAGGTTGGATCTCAGTATGTGCCAATGCGATCGAGCACAGCATCATTTTTTTTATTTTGCACACTGTATGTCATCTTTGTAAAGCAAAATTCTTGTGATTCATGTTTTAATCCTCGTACAAAAATTTCCCATTTAAATAAGGAAATACAGTAGAGAACCAATTACTCGGGACAACAACCCAGCTCGGAACCATCGCTATCCCGGATGTCTGAATTTCTCGTTTTTCTGGATCGACCAAAAAGTGTCGTTAATCGATGTTTTATCGAACCCGAATTACAAGGAAAATGTGTAACACATTTTAAAGTAAGAGAAAAAAGAAAACCACCCGTAAATTTAAAAAGAAAAAAAATGGTAGAAAAATAACATTTAAAGGAATAGAAAAAAATTTGCAAGTTCAGACAAGAAAAACAAGTGGAAAAATACAAAATTCTCATATTTATTTTTTAAAAATAATTACAATTCCTAAATTACCTAATATGAACAAAAGCAATGATTAAATAATGCAATATATTTCATACCTAATTATACAGGGGGAAAACGATAAAATAAAAAGAAAACTTATTAATCTAAATAAAAACAACAAAAATTATCGAAGATAAATATTAAAACCTGGAACAAGGCAAGATTAATAAGATCAGCGGAATTAAAAAAATAAAAAAAAACCTAATGATAAAATTTATGAATAAAAATAATTGATTTATTGAGTGCAAAATTTATTGTCAGAAGAAAAAAAACAAACGTAGTGGAATCAGAAAAATAAAACTGCAATCTGCTTCATTAAATAATCGTATGTTTAAATTAATAAACAATTCTCCTTTTATTTATTTTTTCATAAAAACACGATTTTTAACAAAAGCAGATGTGATTCCACATCAAGGAAAACGATGCCGCACTTCCAAAGAATCAGAATTTATTCAAAAGAAAAATATTTTATTTTTATTAATCGATGTTAAATATATAAATATATTTTCCTCTTTCATCTTCTGTTCACTGATAAGCAGGTGCAATGCTTTTTCCCCATTCCCTCGTAAATCAAAGAGAAAACGAAATCAGCATGCCACTCCTTTGAGTTTAATTGATGGCCTAAGAGGGAAAACAAAACATTCATCCCTTCCCTGCCTCCTCTTGATCTGAAGATCTTCAAGGTCACGGAAGAAATGACGTTTCTCTGGGTAAATGGAGAAAAAATTCTCCCCTTCCTCCCATTTTCCTTTACTCAACTTCAAGGATGAGTCCAATTTCCGCTTTTTTTTCCATAATCGTTCTAGTTTAAAATGGCGGGAAAACTGAGCAAAATTTCCCCCGGTTATCTGGATAACGGATAAATGGTTCTCTACTGTACTATAGGATTAATATGAGCATCTCAGAAAACATTGACATTAATTCGATATTTAAAAAAAATATTTCTCGATTTGGTTTGATTTTTATGGAATGAATAATATTCTTCTTAAAAACTAAAGGATTTAACAGTGGAATATTTTTTAAAAAAGCATTTCTAATGAAAAAACTATTGTTTAAAATTTTGTTTTCTTTAATCAGATAAAATCGGAGGCAGTCCGTAAACAAATAAACTCAACTATTTACTCACAACCAAACAATTGTTAGTGAGTGATTAAATACTGACTGTGGCTGAGAGAGCTTGATTGCACTGGTGTATTTCTGTGAGTGCATCCAAAGTTGGATTGTTTGATATGAGACCACCATCAATGTAAGGCCCAGAAGGACGGAAATAGGTTGGTGCAGCACCAGTTGCCCTAGCAGCTCTCCATATCAATTGCTCTGAAATTTAAAATATTTACATCACTAAGATAATGCCTACTAAATTACATGGATAAATGATGATATAATAATTGAGCAACAAGGATATTTTGATAAATTATCAAAGTTCTGATAACTAGCAGATAAAAATAAGAGTCATTGAAAATTCAACTTATTGATGATTAAAAAAAATACTTTTTTTAATTTTAAAGGTGAAAAATAAACACAACAATATTGTTAAAAAGCATGCATTTTTGTTAAGGAAAGTGGCCGTTTTTAAACTTTTCATGGAACTTGAAAAATAAGAAAGAAAGTTATATTCTAAAGTAATAAGAATATAAATACATTGAAACAACTTCTAGGTAGCCTTTTTTGTTTCATATTATAAAACACTATTTGTCCGTAAAACTTAACATTCAGATCACTAAAAATCTTGTTTAGATTAAATAATTGTGTCCCTACAATACTACTCAGATGCTACACAATAAAGATACTACACAGGCACTGATACATGATACTACACAGTGAAAAAAAAAGAGAGAAAATATTTAATTTGTTTAAAAAAAAAAATTCCTTGAAAAATAATATATTGAATGAATAATGAAAATGATACACATTTAGGAAAAATTACATTAGTATTTTGCCTAAAATAGGATTAACTAAAGTTAAGAAGAAAGCATAATTCCCAGATAATCATTTTGGGAATTTTAGTTTATTTATATTGAATTTAAAATAATTTATTTTAGTGTATAAGTCAACAATGCAGATATTTTCAGAGTAAATATTATTTAATAAAATTGCATGATTTTGAAAATTAAAAATAATTAAATTATCAATAAATCGAAAAACAAATAACATTCAGAGAATTTTTTTTAAAAATAGTGTAAAAATAAATTAGCTAAAAGTTATGAAAATTAGATTCGTGTGGTATTCCATCTATATGAACAAAGGTATATTTTCCATTGTAAAAATAATTATTAAAAAGACAAATATTAATTAGAATTTCCCAATAATCAAAATAGCAACTAAGAATATTTCAATAATCATAGTAATAACTCAAAAGAACATCTTTTAGTTTAGAAAGAAAAATGCTATTGACGAGATCTAGGAAATAAAAAATTGCAACAAAATTAGTAATAAAACTTATAATTTATTCTCTTTATTAATCTCTATCTATTTTCTTTTTTGTCTCTTCATTGTGTGTATACATATATATATGCATATATACTATCCCTTTTTGCTGTATCATTTATTTTGCTTCAATAAGTATTAAAAAAAAGTGGTTGAACAGACAAGAGCAGTTATAGAAAAATAAACATTGGGGCGAAGAATAAACTTTCCAAAGAATAAATATTAATGAAGCTGAATATCAATAGTGAAAGAACATCAGCAGACAATATTTATTTTGCTTTGAATTATAGATGTTTTCATTAAAAAATCTACTCAATTCTGTGCCTTGCTTTAGAGTTTATTTTTATTTTTTATTAAATTGGATTGACTTTTTTTTTTTTACATATATATTTCATCATACTAAACATTCTTTAGTTTTCTAGATGTCATTGAACCTATAATAAAAGATTAAATAAAAATGTCATAAATTATTGTCCATTTGTTACGTTTTTTATTTGTTTTTATTTCATTATTATTTTTTTTCCAAAAACACATGCTTTGGTTATCCTACAGACCTATTAGGTGGAAAAAATATATTTTCCAGACTTGCCGAAGCCCAATGATTCCTGAAATGAGACTTTCCAATGTATCAGATTATTTGGGCAAATGCCTAAAAATTTCACTGTTGTGCACAGTGTCACCCCATTGAATAGTGTAAAGAAAAACAGGTTTCCAGCAAAGAAAAGAAACCAGGTTTATAACATCAAGAGGAGTTCTAGGTTAACAGTTAAATCCATTAAAAAAATTTTGTTTTAAACAAAAAAGGTTAACAATTTGAGTACCTTTTGGATTTTGAAGCACTTCATTAGTAAGAACATCTTTTTCAACATGATTTAATAATTCTAAGGGAGATTTGTAGTTACGAAAAATGTGTAAATCAGCTGGCTTTCTATCACCTCTTGTTGCAGTAACCATAACACTACAAGACAGTAAGAAAGTCAATTTAAAAATTGTTAACAAAGAAAAACAATAAATATAAGCTATTCTTCAAGCAACATATTTTATATCAAATGTTTAACAAGAAAGGTAACAATTAGAAATTTATGCAAAAAGCAAAATTATCCCCCTCTTAATTTTATTATAAACTATTAAATGCTCACAGTATTTAGATCTGAACCTAAGACCTAAATTCATTTTAAATCAATGTGACAGGATTGGTATACACTGTTCTATACGATTTAAAAACCTTTTTAAATAATTATATAGCATTTGTAAACTGATTTGGCATTATTTGCTGAATTACTATGAATGAATGACACAGTGACATAGGACTGTTAATTTTGCATAAATATGGAAGTAAATATACAGTTTCGAACAATTTTTACATAGCCAAATAAAATATAATCGCAATTTTGGAGTACAAAATAAATTACTATTAGTAAAGCTGATTGCAAGATGTAGGTCTTTTATTATTTTATACATCTATTTTATTTAATTATCTATCATCTATTTTGCTTACATTACAATTGCGAAAATTAGTGAAGTTTAGTTATGTAAAAAAACATAAAAATATATATAAATATTTTTTAAGAGGCTGCCTAATTTAAAATGTAAACAAGCATAGATTAAAATATAAATAAGAAATAACATCAGAATAATTGTACGCACATCAAGTCTAAAATAAATATTTAAAATTTCTTTAAAAAATAAATTTATATCCGAAGAAAAGACAAACATCATTTAAGAAATATTTTACCGTGGCTTTTCTATATCACCCATCACTGTTGATTCACCTAATTCATTTTTCAAAAACGTTTCTAATAAATCTGCATCATAAGGTCTGACACCAACAAACACTTTGTCTTTAAGTCGAAAATACAGACATCTGCAGTCTTTCATGGATTTTCCTGTTGCAATAAAGCAAGAGAAAAGTATACTTCATTAAAAAAATAAGAGAAAACTATATGATCGGTGCTCAATATAACAATACTTTTTGTCCTAACGAAGGCCATTATAGCAGAAATGCACAAAAATAGTATAAATATTTACTTGTACCGTATTTTTCTGCGAAAGCGCCGCTTCGTCGCAAGCGCCGCACCTCGATAAAAATGAAAATTTTTTGAAAAAAGTTATAGTAAGCGCCGCAATGGTGCTAAGCCGCGCATATCAGCATCCATTTAGAAGAGACCTTTAAATTACCATTTAGAGTATCTGTATAATAAAAAATTAAATTTTTTTATGCATTTCATAAAGCAAAGTTTTAATTTCTAAATTATAATAAAAAATTTCTTTTTCAGCAAAAAAAAAAGTTTTCTCTTTCAGCAAAAAAAAAGAGAAAACAACAAAACTATATAAAATAAAGTTGTTCTTACCAGTTGGCACCGCGCCAAAAAACAGAAGAACAGCAAATAAATATTTGTATGTTCAGTAGCTGAATTAAGGCTGAACTGATTACAGAAATCCGTAAAACAATGTAAGAAGAAAAATAAAATAAAAATTTATTAAAAGAAAGATTTTAAAATTTATTACCGTTAAGAATTTGAGGAAAAACTAATACATAATAACGAAACAGCTAATAATAACGAAATAACTAATAATAACAAGAATAAGAAATAACTAAGCAGGCCCCAAAAAAATTCTGAAGGAATGAGCGAAGGGGAGATAAGTTTCACTTTCACAATCTTTGAGGGTGGAATTTTAGTGAGTAGAATGATGCCCTCTCCTTCAACAGAAATAACCCAATGTGACTCAACTTAGAAAGAGAGAAGAAAATGTTTAAAAGAGAGGTGTACCCCACCTCCTCCACGTGTCATTTCTATTGGAGCTGCTTAGGAGGAATCAATCAGTTACATTTTAAAGGGGTTGGGGAAAAGAAAAGGGTATGGGACCCCTAATCCAGCATCTCAAAATTAGGCACTTAATCTGATCTAATCTTTTTCGTTTTTTTTATTTTTAAGAAATTTATATTGATAAGACAAAAAAAAAATCAGTTATTTTCTTTTTATTTTGAATTTTATTCTGTTGAAGTAACTTACTTTATTTTATCTTTTAAAAATAAAAAAGAAGCTTGAAAAGAAAAAAAAAAATCTGTATCAAAGGAAACATCTGTTTCTAAAGCAGTTAAAAATAAAGTGAGAAGTAAAAACACCTGCATTTCCAATGAACAAAATAAAGAAATGGAAGTTGGAAAAAACTGATCAATCAATCTTGACAGCTCTGCTTGTGCTTTACTGATTTGCCCTCAAATTTCCCTCCTCTCTTTGACCATAAATTGGCCACACCCAGTTGACATTGAAATTACCATGTGGACAATAAAATGAATTTATTCCTTTTGCGGTTTTTTATTCGATTCATAAATTTTTTTTATTTTACCGCTTTTTATTTTTTTTTTGTTAATTGTTGCTTGCTTGTTTTTTTTTTATCGTTATTAGTATTTAGCTTGTTTTTTGTTATTATTCATTGTTAGTTTCTTAGCATTAGTTGTTTAAAAAAAATTTTTTTTGTAGTTCCCTGCTAGTTTTTTTTTTTTTTTTNTTTTTTTTTTTTTTTTTTTTTTTTTTTTTTTTTTTTTTTTTTTTTTGCGAGGTAAGCGTCTTTTGTTAAACAAAATGTTATCTAAAAGAAAAAACGAGAACTATAATCTCGCTCCAAAAAAGAAACGATTATTTCTTCTTCATAGGATTCTGAGTATTTCTTCTTGATTATATTATATAGATTATTATTTTGATTAGTAAAATTTCTCTTAAGATGGGCCAGTTTTAAATTCACCCCATCATAATCTACGATCGAAACTTGACTAAATTTATTGGTTTTTCTGAAATTAACAGTGGAATTGAATTATAGTAATATTTGGGGGCCATATTGGAATTTCCGAAAGAGATCCGAAGTTCGGCATTTCGTCAGTCCCGTGAGTGTCGGATTTAGGGTCCTATTCTTCCTTTTCTGTTCGCTTAAATTACAATTGCCAAGGCGCTAAATAGATTTCTATCTTGCGATTTTTCCTTAAGCTGGGGGTCGATACAAGATGCATACCTTTTAAATTTTCTCCTTATGCGATGCTTTTTTTAAATTATTATTTCGTTTATTTATTTTCTTACAGGCTGCTGCCAAAAGTTTGCTAAGAATTGGCGATGTTCTGCAGTAGATCGCGATACGGGCGAATATTTCGTCGACTTCGTTATTAATTTTTTTTAATAGTCTTTTTCTCAGAAAATTGTTTCATCTTGAATAACTTTCCTTGACAAATTTTTTTGCTACAAAAAAATATTTCGACGGAAGCGCCGCTGCATCGCAAGCGCCGCATGTAGGAAAAAAAACAACTTTTTTTTTTATAGCGCCGCGGCTCTTCCGCCGAAAAATACGGTAACTAAAATATATTACACCAATTTTGAAAAAATAAATGCTATACTTGAATAAAAATTAGGAGTATAACTTGTTTAAAGTTAAGATACATGCAAAAGTAATAATGAAAATAATACACAATAGGTGTAAAATGTGTTAGAAAATAATAAGCTGATTTCGGAAAACTATATTTAAGAAACAAGCAGTCAGGTAACAAAGTCTAAGCAAAAACAAATTCTGGCAGATAAGATCTGACTACAATTACATTTAACAATTCATCCATAGTGACAAACATGTTACAAAATAGGTGAATAAAATTTTAAAACGAGAATAGTATGATTGATACGTTTTTTGTTCCCATGGGAAAAAAATGCATGTTTTTATTTTTTTATATATCCTACGCCAACCTAGGCATGTCTACTATAAGTTTAGAGTTGTATATAGAACACAATTCCTTTGCAATACAGCTCTGACATTGCCCCATTGGGTTTTAATTTACTTCAAAGTTCATAAATATGTTTAAATGGTAAAACTTTCAGTAATAACGATGACTTAGGTGGAGTGTTTTGTTTGTAAATATCAAAGTTCTACGAGAGCAGGATCATGAAAAAAAATAGGAAATAGTCGTCAGACAGAATGGAAGATATTTGACCGATTAAGGTTCAGTTCTTTTATAGAAAAAATTTCAAGCTAAAAAACAAAATTACTTTCTGGCTAACACAATAAATTGTAGTTTAAGGTTACAAGCTAATGAAACATAGATGTTAATGCGAAAGCAATAAAGTCTTCTTTTAACTTACCAGTGGCTAAAACCAAGGCTAAGATACCTCCAGTACTTGTACCAGCCACAAGGTCAAAAAAATTAGCAATGGGTTGTCCTAATATTCTCTCCAATTCATCCAACATTTGAATGAGAACCATTCCTCGAATGCCCCCGCCATCTAGCGAAAGTACTCTGAGGTTTCTAGAATGATTCTCTTGGCAGTCCATTTTGCTAGGACTTGAGACAGTACTTTGGAAATTAGGAACCACTCCATTTGAAAGCAGGATTTCTTCAAACACTTAAATGGACAAACATACGTGATGTTAGATTCAAAAATCATTAAAAAAAATATCAAACACAATTAAGATTTGAAATTTAATTTTAGCAAAGAAACAGCATTTTCTACTTTATTATCACAAATTAAAGCTTTCTAGAACTTAATCTTTTAAATGTTTGTAACTGTACATAGATTGTCTGCATTAATTCACTAACCTTACTTTTAAATAGAGATTGAACGAAGCTTTGGCTTTGCCAAATCATGAGCTGTGATTTGGCCGGAAACAATTTAAATTGTGATTATTTTTTATACAATTATTATTACATAAAAAGTTCTTTTCCGTAATGCACATAATAGAGCTTAGTAGAAATTTATAATTTAAAATTTTGCGTGCATTAGTATTGAACGTTGGAACCATAAAATAATAGTATACTCTATTTCATTTGAAAGTTGATAAAATTAACGTTTTTAAAATAAAGCTATTAAAATATTGCATGGAACATTCGTTAAACATTTTTAGCTCTGAAAATTATGAAAACAATAGTGTCGTTATTTTTATTATTTAGTATTCTTACTCACATAATAATAAATCATTAAAACTTTTTTTTGAAAAATTAAAAATGTTGGACATTTTGAACTGCATATATAAGATTTTTATGAATTCAATTTAATTGAATTTTTGTTAATGATTATTGCTACGGATTTTCACACAATTTTATAAATCTCAATATGACATTATTAGGGCAAGCAAATTATAGAAATAACTTTTGATGTTCTTTATTTGAACAAATCTCATCATAAATCCAAGTTACTTATTGCTTTTTCAGAAGTTATTGCTAAGGATATCCATGTGGCTTTTAAAATCAATTTTTTTCAAATACTTTTTAACAATTTTAGGTTTTGTTAATCAATGCTTTTTTATGCACTTTATTTGTACAAACTTAATCACAAATGATTTTTGTTTTTTCAGCAGTTCTTGTTAAGATTTCCATTTGGTTTTTTATATTTCGATGTTATTAACATAATATTATTACCAACTATGAGTATCGAACTACTCATTTAAATAACTACTTTTCGCCATGCTTTATTTGAGCGGATTTCATCATAAATACAAGTTATTTTTCAAAGGTTATTTTGGCAGCTATTGCTATGCATTTCCACATAAAACTCCCTGAATTTTTAATGGACTATTATTACTACATTCAAATTTTTGAATCACATATTTAAATCACTGCTTGTCATGTTTTAATTTGCGAATATTTAATAAATTTTTTTTCGGAAGTTATTGCTACACATTTCAATATTGTTTTTAAAATTTTGATTTTTTAACACACTATTATTATGCAAGGAATTGTGCATTCAAGCCAATTGTCGACGTCTTTATTTGGGCTGATTTTATCGAAAACCTAAATTATTTTTTAGTAGTTATTTTCCTGCTATTGCTACATGATTCTGAAATCCCGATGGATAGTTTTAATGTGCCATTAAAAAAACTCTTCCTTTTTTTTTAAAGTGAAAAAGAATAAAAGCAGTTCCATTATGCAAAGGACAATATAACAAAAATAAATAAATAAAAATTTAATAGCCTCACTCAATTAACAAATTTCTTATTAACTATTTTAGAAATAAAATAAGAAAAATTGTAGTTTTAAAGTATTTTAAAGTTACAATAAAAAAGTTTATTAAAATTTTAATACAGTTTTTATTTTAACTTGTCACATAAAAATTAAAATATCAGTCACGAGAGCTTTTACTCTATTTGTTACTTTCTATATGCCCTCAATTCAATTGTCCTTTCAATGTTTTGTGTTAATTTAAATAATTAATTTTTTAAAATAAATTTTAAAAACAAATCCAATTATTGCTAATAGAAGAAGGATTTCAAAATAAAAATATGATGTTTTACTTACGTTCCTTTTTATGTAATGTCTGTCACAGTTAATGTTTTTATTCAAAATAAAAAAATATGTATAATTTTCATCCCTTTTTCTTAGATGCATAATCATATTAAGTAATTGAAAAATATCCCATATAGTTTTAAAAAAATATTAAATATTTATGAACAGAAAAAAAAGTTTTAAAATAAGAAAACCTTTCAAAATGTAACGTCAATCACCATGCAATTGCTCACAATATTGGCTAAATGAGTTTTTTTTATTATCCGCTAAATTAATTACACCAGGTAAATGTTCTTTGGTTACAGAAAAAGACTAGAGAATAACAAAAAATAATTGCAAAAAAGAGTAAGTTAATGATATCAAAAAACTGTGCTCTATTCTATTTTCCCCTAAGGAATTTATATTTTTTCCTGTTTCCTTAAATTCCCTTTTTTTTCCTAAATTATCCTTAACCATATAGCACCATGCTGTTCGAAATGAGTGAAATATTTTTTCTCTGCCTTGTTTTATTTTGTGCAAAATATAATAATAAAGACTGGAGTTGGATATTCACTTGTTTCAGTCATTTTCGAAAAAGCACAGTTTTCCGGTGGAATCCCATTAAATTGTCCATTAATGTTGCAACCATCATTGCATGAATGCATGGGAGCAGAACAGCGACTTGCTCCAATGATGTGTAAAGCGTAAAGAATTTCCCCAAGGGCACACTTCTTTTCAGTGGCAGCTATATGACGAGGTGATTCACTATGATTGTTTAGTAAGTCTACATCAGCATCAAATGCAATAAAAGTTTGGACTAGCGACAAATCTCCACTCTGAAAGGGAAAATGATCCAATTTTGACATTTAATTACAACAGAAATAATAATGTCAAGAACTGTAATGCAAGTACTAAAGTCTTACATACCTTACATTTTAGTAACATTTTTAAAGTCTTTTTCTTTTTTTGGAGTTTATGAGATTTTAACCCTTTGACTACTAACGGGACTCATTTGTCTCAACAAGTGTTTAAAAATTACTAATGGACATATGTATCCCATCATTAAGTACGGCCAGGACATATATGTCCCAGCCTCTAATTTGATAACCGCTTCTCAGAAAAATGCCAAATACTAAATTTGCCTTATTTGTGACCTATTTTGTCCTTTCGAACAGTAAACAGGACAAAAAAATCATTTCTTAAAATTCGTAGTCAAAGGGTTAAAATATAACTGAACTTCGTAACAACCAAGTACAAAGAGGGCGAAAATCTTTTTGTTTTGACCAATAAAACAACAAAAGGTATTGGAGGATGATTAAAAGAAATCGTTGAGGTAAGGATATCAAAGAATTTCAGTGATATCTGTAGAGAAATATTTCATGGTCATTTTAAATTAATAAGTATTTTTATGTAAAGAGACACAATTCTCAGAATGATGCAGATATACACATGACAGCAGTGTATGCACAGTGCCCCCCCAAAAATTGAACCACTCTGAATAACATAACTTAAGATCTAATGATTGGATCTTCACGTTCTAGGACTCAATTTTAATGGCTCGAGGGGTTGACCTCAAATATGCTAATTAGTAAGCACATACAATATAAGTTACAAAATCGGGTACAAAAACGTACTTTCTCTGAATAAACATATCTTTTTTCGACGAATTCAGATTTCTGATACCTAAAGTATAGGGAGTAGCCGTTAACTGGAAATTTGGTCCCCGTAGTTTGATCAAGAGAGTGGTCTAAAGTTTCGACTCGTTAATGTTAATTTTACTTTTAGCATATTTCACTAAATTCTGAGAACTTTTCAAGCGAATTTAAATTTTTTTTTCTCACGCAATTATAAAATTCGTTTATTAAAAGAAAATGCGATGCAAAAAATACATTTGAGTAAATATTTGTTATTATTATTTCTAAGAATGTTCGAAAAAAATTTGAATCGTTAAGTATACAGTTTTTTTTTTGCATAGAATATAATTTTACATGGCAAAATACAAAATGAAAGAAAATTCATCACTTTGTGCAATATATTTCACTAATAAACAAATATGGTTAAAAAAGGTTTTTGTAACAGTGGGAATAACTAGGTCCAATGCACTTCTTAGACAGTACATAGCTTCTAGATGTTAGGCAAATTATGTGTTATTTTTGCATTTTTCCTCTTCATGCAGGATAGTTCTGCACAAAGGCAAATGTTTGATCCAGGAGTTCCCTTGTCTTTTGGATTGGGTTCAAAATTACAAAACCACGAAGTTGAATATTGGTAATCGTAAACTCAAAGTTGGGACAGGTATGTAATGTCATAAAAATATATGCAGAATAATATATGTAATTAAAGGAGAGAAATAAAGTTTCAAATTGAAATTCTTGTTCATAAGGGAATTTTTTTTTCTATTTTAGGTGTATTTCTAGCAACTTTTAAGGGCATTTCCAAGGATTTTTTTGGGTAATCAAAATTCGAGCTCTACTAATATGCAATATGTTTTAATAACATTAAATAACATGTAACATTAAATAACATGTTAAGATTTAATAACATGTTTTAATAACATTAACATTTTAATAAATGTTTTAATAACATTAACTCAATAACATTTTTGATAATTTTATATTTATTTCAATTTTTGCAATTATTAATAAATTGATGTCTTGTAATCTTTATATCAAACCTTTGAATTTTAAATTATTAATGATTCTTTTTAAACTATTATTTATAATGAAACTACCTACCAATGACGAATTTCACACTTTTATAGTAACTTATTTAAGGAAAAACTATGTTCTTAGTTGAATCGCAATATTAGATTATAAAATCACTTGAATATGAATTGCGATATTGGATTTTAAGAACGTAAAAATCAAATCACGATACTGGATTTTTAAATCATATAAATACGAATGGCGATGCACAATTTATTAGATTGTGTGAATATGAATGAATCACAATGCGTGACTTTTAAATAATGTATAAATATAAAAATCGATGTTTGATTTAACAAATGCGTGAATACGAATCATGATAGTAGATTTTTAAAAACACTTTTAAGAAAAACATCTATATTTCAAATTATAAGTATTTTTATTTCAAAAATCTACTCATTTGAGTCTTTTGTTTAATATTATTATTAACAGCATTGGTTTCCTTTTGGAATTAGAAGCTTACTTTTTAATGCTGTTTTTATCTGAATATATTTACAGACAAATTGTAGAGCAAATATTTTCACAAAAATAAAGCAGAAAATATGAATAGGAAGCTGTATATATGCATTTAAATTTAAAATTTTACCAAATCCGGCACATTAAGTTTCAGACTATTTTTTAATAGGAATTACTGCAAATTTGCAGTAATTTTAACCATGGAATTTTCACTTACTTTTACTGCCAAATGCAGAGGTGTGTTACCCTCTGAGTTTTGAATATTTGCATCTGCTTGATGACTTAATAGCATGACAGCACAAGACAAACGATTTCGTCTAACCATCACATGAAGAGCAGTGTCACCTTGAAAATTTTTAGCATTTACGTTGCATCCATGTTCAATCAACACTTCAGTGAGCTGTTAATAAAAAATCCTTCTTAACTTTGATCGTAGTAGTTTCCAAACATTAATTTGATTTTTTGTTATGTTTTTGAAAAATGAGGTTCAAATTTAAGCAATACCAGGGGTCTGTTCAGACATTTTGTAAAAGGTCCGTTTTTGTAAAATTGTGAAAAAATTACTCATAATTTGCAAATATAAAATAAATGTCAAGCCACATTCTTTCAACCAGGGTCTGCGCTTTTGTGAATTTGTGCAAATAGGGTCCGTTATTGCAAAAAAACTTTTTCAATGAGTTTTTAAATTGTAAAGACATACGAGATTATGCTCAACACTGTAAAATTATAATTAAAAAAATTAAATTTTAAAAAATGAACAGCAATTGCAGCTACTAAATTAGCGATGCAACATACAAATATTTGGTATTTAGCCTATACTGCTGAACGCAGAATATTCATCAGACAAGTAAAGGAAGAAGCATCTGCCGAAGACAAAATTTAGTTCGTTTACATCTGTCTCCCCCCCCCCTTCCTGGGAAGGGTTTATTTGATAACAAAACAAGGAAGATAAACAAATTTTTGAAGTGTTCGATTAATAGATAAATTACTTTGTGAAGGGTTTATTTTTAAGTTAAAATATTTTGTGAAGGGTTTATTTTTAAGTTAAAATATTTTGTGAAGGGTCCGTTTTTATGAAAAGATATTTTGTGAAGAGTCCGTTAATGGACCCTAATTTCTTCTAAACAGATCCCTAAATACTAAATTGTAATATTTATGATTTGAAATATAATTTGCTATTAAAGTTATATAATAAATACCTCAGGTGTTTTGGCCCAATGAAGAGGTGTTCCACCACCTTTTATATCACTGTTGAAAAATCTATTACTATAAGTGTCTAACACTTCTTTCATTGATCTAAAAACAACATAGACAAGGCTTATTACATTTCAGCAAACTTAATTTTCAGACAGTAGAATTAAATAAAATTTTTTTCATTTTTTAAAAATACACTTTAAAAAATTCATTTTATAATAAGTAAATTTTTTTAAAATACAATTGAAATAGAAATATTATTAAAAATAGATCACAACAAAACATTTAAAAAATATATTAATGCACAAAAAATTGTTTTATAACAATTCATAATACATGCAAATGTATGTCTTAAATTAATAAAAATGGAAAAGAAATGGATTCTTATTAACTTCTAAAAAACAGGCCTAAAATAAACAACTCGCAAGCCCAAGTCATTTTCTTTAAATAAATCGTTCACACCTCATACCTTACCTTAACTGCAGGTGTTCAGATATTTCTATATTCTTATATCTTTTGTAGTAGATACATAGAATAATTTATTTAAAAAAAAACCATCTTATAAAAAAGAGAATCTGAATTTATCATTAAATAGTTTTTTTTATTTTATTAAATTTTTCTTTTTATACTCACTGTTGGAACTTTTAAGATTCAGAAGCATATTTCCAATGCTAAAACAAAATGTTTCTTTGAAGAATATGTTTTACATCAAGGAATTTTTATTACCTTTATATTTTTTCAAAAAATATAAATATGAAAACTAATTTTTACAAATGTATAGGTATAAAAAGGACGCCTCAAAATTTCACTTTGTTCTTGATGTGAATTTAAAAAAAGAAAAATAAAAAAAATTTATAAGATTTTTAAAAATGCAGCATTTTCTTACACAACATAATTATGTAATTTTGCCAATTTAAACTAATTCACACAGCAATATGTTTACAATACATTTAAAAACTATAAAAATAAATAAATAATCTCATATTATAATACTCTGTGAATATCTAAATCAATGATTTCTATTTAAAAACATCAGTTGATTTAAACCAACAAACCCTAAGAAATATTTAAAGTAAAATTAAATTTACAACTGTATCATTAAGATCATATTTACAAAATAGCACTATATGAACTTTATTTCATAGAGAAAAATCTTTTCTTTTCTGTCCTTTAAACTTTTATATTCCTTTGATTAATCTCCTAGTACAATGAGTATGCATATTTTTAGCATAATTGATAAACATATAAATGGTTTACAAGGAAAACATAGCTTGTATTAAATATCAAAATTCTTCGGAAAAAAATTAAAAGAATAATGTTAAAAAGAAACTTTTTTTTGCTTTGAATAATAATAATAATTAAAAAAAAAGAGTTACCTAGAAGGAGAATCACAATTGGAAGAAAATTTTTTGTCAGGAAAATTCACGCCACAGCAGAGGTTAACATCTACTCCAGCTTTTAGAAACTCCATCACACAATCCGTTTTATCAGCCATGCATGCCAAATGAAATGGTGTACAACCTTTGGTATTGAACGTATTTATAACACTATGAACAGGTTTCTTGGTCAAAGCCTTAAATAAAGATTAATTCTATGAAAAAAAAATATTTTTTCAATGAATATTACATTTTTAAAGCTGTTTTTCTTATTATAAACTTTTTAAAAAACTAAATTATTTATATATAATGTGATAAGTAATTAAAAAAAAAAACTAGATTTGTTTAAAAAAATTGTTTTGCAGTTTATTTGCAACTAACACAGAACTAAATTTTCATTTTTAAATAATAATAAAAAATACCGAATAAAGGCTAAACTAAACTTATATATATATATTAATGAAAATTATAATGTTCTCACAAGGAAACTTGTACATTACTTAAAAAGTAGTAAATGCCTTTTAAATTATATATTTTAGCCGATTTGTTGTCACTTTTACAATCGTTACAGGATGGGGCTTTAAATTTTTTTTATTATTATATATTTATTATCTATTATTATTATAAAAAAAAAAACTTTAATAACAGTATGATACTTTAATATTTTTAGATTTATTCTTGCAAGTAAACATATCGTTCTGTTGTTTATTGTTCTATATAAGTCTTATTTGCAAAGCAAATGTGAATTTTAAAGAAATTTCTTATTTTTTAAATTTATAAATAGGATTTTATTATTAAAAAACAATTATTTAAAAAGTCAAACATTGTTAACAAAAGTATTAAGCGACGAGCGGCAATTGTTTTATTGACTTTTCTTAAAGAAACAAATAGTGGAATACAGAAACAATTTAATTTAGACTAAACAAAACTGAAAAGATTAATATTAACCAAACTTATGCTTAAGTATTACTTTTTGACATAAAATGAATTTTTTAGTGATTTGAAAACCTTTTTTTTCTTCAAATATTAAATGTGATTCTGTAAACATAAAACTGCAAACAGAGAGTCAAATATAGTTTTTAAATTAAATGCAATTCTATAAATAATGCATACATTTAATTGCAGAAATATTGAAATTTATAATAATAAATTTCAATACATTTAACTGTAGAATATAATTAAGTATTTAGAAGGGTTTAATAAAGTTAATATGTGGCCCTGATTCCTAGATAATGGAAATGAATGATATCCATGTTCACACCATAGTATACATTATAGAGAAGTAATAGTTGTTAAATTCAAATGATTGCACAGTTACACAACTAGTTATAATAAACACTACCTTAACATTATTTTAAATTAGTGCTATTATAATTTATGTTTTTTATGTAAATATTTTACTTCACAAAATTCTATTGATTTTTAGAAAATTGGTGATCATTTACATATTTTCCAAAAAAATAATAACGATTTTATACAAATTGTTACCATTGCAATTAAATTAAACATTTGTACATTAGATAATTACAGAGTATCTGCTAAATCTAGAGTTTTTAAATCCATGCCTTCTACTACCAAATTTAATTTTAATGCAACTATATATTAAACCAGGAGTCTCCTGGACCTATGGCATCACACATTTCTAGATCAGGCTCTGCATGTGAATACAAATTGCGATATAGGATTTTCGAATTGTGTGACATTAGTAAGGACTCCAATAGCCAAATATCCATGATGAACTGGGAATTTCCATGAATTTTTAGTATTTATTAAAGAAAATCATGACTTTCCATGACAAATTTTAATGACTTTCCAGGTGTGCAGATACCTTGTAATTATTAAATTAGAAACAGAAATGTAATATGTATAAGATTCTTTTATTCAATACTATATAGACTAACACAGCGTTCCCCAACCTTTTTATTGCCACAAACCTGACAACGATTGATAATTTTACCGCGGCCCGCTGGGGGGTGGGGGGCATTGATTGTTTAGATTTTAAACTATTTTGATTTATTAATTTTAATTTAATTGTATTTAAACACGCCTTCAAAATAAAATACAGTTAAACCAAAAAATAAAGATAAATTGATTTAACATTTTAACTTACTAGAACGTTAAATCAATGAGAACCCTGAGCTTGTTTCTTTGCAATGATACAGTTCCATCTGGGGGTAATCGGAGACAATGATACATTACAAACATTAAAAAATTCATGTCACTACCTTCGGGGGCCCCTTTTCTAAATAAATAAAATTTAATTGGAACACAGATATTTTTAATTTGGGGTATAAACCTAGGAATTTAAATTCAGTTTCAATGAAATGGGCGACCCAGTACCATTTGACACACAGACGGTCCGCGGACTGGGGGTTGGGGAACACTGGACTAACAGATATAATTCTAATATAATCATTCCGAATTGAAATACTAATTTTTATAAGAAATGAAAGTACTTTTTATCTAAAATGAATTGCTTAAATTTTCTTATATATTTCTTTAAAAAAAATTTGTATTATAACATTTACTTTCATAACATAGTTAAGACCAAAAAAAAAAAACTAACTAACTTGAATGATGTCTTTGGTTGTTGTAGCTGCATAATGAAATACTGTTTCACCATTCATGTCTGTTTTATCCATTAAAACATCTAAATCCATCAATGCTACAACAGAGCCTAATTGTTGTGCCTTGACAGCTACATGTAGAGGCGTCATTAACATGTCTTCACAAATAATATTCACTTGGCTGAAATGAAAAGTGTTATTCATTAGGATGCAGAGTTCTTCATTGCACATACAGACTTGTATTTTATGCATTAAACTTTTGTTTACACCTCAACAATTTCAGCAGGAGTGAATTCCTTGCAAAAAATTTCTTACAATTATTACTTCTTTTCCTGATGATAAGGATAATTTCTTAGATAATCAGGCCATAATTGTAGAAAGAGTGACAATGATCCCTTACAGGTGTTTTGAATTTCGGAAATTAATTGTTATCACTCTAAGACAACAGTCAATAATTGCAGCAGCAGTTGAAAGCCATTTTGCGATTCAAAATATAATAAAATCAAAAAAGCCTGTTTTGGAGCAATTGGAGGCACCTTTTTCAGAACACTAAAAAAGGTGCCACTTGTGACATGAACTTTGAAAATGCAATCAAATGGTAGGGGAAAAAAATAAATGAATAAAAAAAAATATATATATATATAAACTTCATTAATTTTACTAAAATATTTTGCTTTTTTTAGAAACCTTATTCTAATTGAACTGAAACAAGAAATTTTTTCTTGAAATAAAGTATTATAACGTTTTTCGGTAAAATATTCAGCCAATAATTTTCTTGTGTTTCTACAGGGAACTACCAAGATGACTGACACATTTCAAATTTGAATAGTATGCAAATGAAGTAACTTATATTTATCTTGAAGGGGGGGGGGACTAAAAAAGAGAACACTTTAGGCCACTAACACTCCGAAAAACAATTCTCCGACGTTCCTGGTTGATTTTATTGCATTTTCCCGATTTTGGCAGGCGTACAATTTATTATTAATTTTCCAGTTATGCTTCATTCATATGTAAAAAAACTATATTACTAACACTTATATTTGCTTTTAAAGTTGAAAATAAACAATTTCTTTTTTTAAATAAATTATTACAAGACCATTTTTTTTGAGGGGGAGGGGAATAGTGGACTTGAAGGTACTTTAAAGTTAAATTGATTTGTTTGCTTTTACTTTTTGTACATTTCAATTAAATTTCCTAACATTTCCTTGGTTTTTCCAAATTGAAAACATTCCCTAATTTTTCCTTGATCTAGGACCATCCTGTATAGTAAATAGCTCACAATAAAGAATTCAAAAACTCAAATAAATTCCCTCCTTGCAATTTTTTCAGATTGATAAACTTCACTAACTTTTTTCTGCTTAACTGCCAATCTGTATCAGTGAATTCTGTACCAGCCTGTGTAATGAATAGTTCATAAAAAATTATACAATACAATTATAGGATGAGTTTAGCACCTCTGAACAAGTACTTTAAACTTTAAAATTCCCTAACTTTTCCTTAATCTACGACAACCCTGTATAATAAATAGCTCACAAAAAGATGAAAAAAATTCACCAAGTGAACTATAATATACTTCTTGTCTCCGATTATTTTTTCATTAGATAGATAAACTTTGACTTTTTTCAACTTAACTGCCACCCTGTATCAGTACACTCAGTGCCACTCTATATAATAAATAGTCCATAAAAAGAAGAGGGAAAAAAAAAATTCCTAAGCTCAAATATCTCTCTCTGATTTTTTCAGATAGATAAACTTTATTGACTTTTTTCTACTTAACTGCCACCCTGTATCAGTGAACTCAGTGTCACCCTTCATAATAAATAGTCCATAAAAAGAAGAGGGAAAAAAATTCACAACCTCAAATGTATTTCTTCTCTCTGATTTTTTCAGATAGATAAACTTCATTCACTTTTTTCTACTTAACTGCCACCCTGTATAATAAATAGTCCATAAAAAAATTATACAATACAATTATAGGATGAGTTTAGTACCTCTGAACAACAGTATTCTTGAAACATTCAACATAACCTAGGTGAGCAGCAATATGAGCAACACACCAAGATGGCTTCTCTTTTATCAGTTGAGAAACAATCTGTAGAGTGAACTTATTTGTTCCTATTTCTGGCACACACTGTATAAGTAATGGCAACTTTTCACGGAATTGGCAAAATAATAATTGGCTACTGACTTCATCACTTGCTCGGTAAAGACTAAAACAAAACAATGACATTCATTTTTATGACTATATAACAAATTTTAAATGAATTTTGTTAATAAATCAATAGCCATGCATTGTCATAATATACAACAGTCACTAAACACCACTGTTAAAACATTGACATTAGTACTAAAATAATTCAGTAATATTTCTCATCTTTTAACTAATCTTTGTAACCATACAATATGAGGTTTTTTTTTTTTTTTTGAAAGATATTAAACTTTATATCTAACTCTGAAAATAGAACATTAATACAATAATTATTACAGCAATTAAAATCTTGTAGAATCATAAAATCATGGAACTTTTTTAAGTCTATTTTTAAATTATATAAACATTAGTAAAATTACTCAAAATATTTAAAGATTATATATACAGTAGGGAACCGATTATC